CGTTGTCCTCCTCCTCATCAACCCCGCTGTCCTTTTCTTTCTCCCTCCTTGTCGTTGTCTACTCCGCCATCCTTTCTCGTGGTCGTCATTCTCCTCCTCCTCCTCCTCCTTGATCGTGTCAACTCCGCCCTGTTTTCCCGTCGCCGTCCTCCTCCTCCCCCTCCTCGTGTTTACTCTGCCCTGCTTTCCCGTCGTCATCGTCGCCGTCGTAGTCCTCATCATCATCATCATCATCATCATCATCATTAACTGCGCCCTATTTTCCCATCGTCATCGGCCTCATCCTCATCAATTCCCTTTCTCTCTCCCTCTCCTCCTCCTCCTCCTCCTCATCAACTCTGGCCTCCTCTGTGGTCCTCCTCCTCTCCTCGTCTTCCTCCTCCTCGTCTCCTCCCCCTCGTCCTCTTTAGTTTATTTATTTTATATTTGGTCCATTTCTCGATTAATGCGTGTCATCTTGGCGAAGGGGTCATGCTAATATTTCCCTTGGAACATTCGCTGAAATTGGAAGGAGAAGATTAGCATGGCCCCTGCACATGGATGACACGCATAAATCGAGAAACAGTCCCAAAAAAGGAAGAGGAGGACGAGGAGGATGAGAAAGAAAATGCGGCCCGAGTTGAGAAGGATGAGGACGAGGAAGAGGGGGAGTAGGAGTACAGGCGTTTTTTTTTTTTTTTTTTTTTTTTTTTTTTTTTTTTTTTTTTCCCCGTACAATATAGGGTATCCGGACCAGGGATCCGGACCGGTCCGGATATTCCGGAATATTCCGGTTTCACGGAAGTCCAGATGGGCCCGGGGGGTCCGGAATCGGTCCGGCGTCCGGTCCACGGCATAGCTATCGTTGTGAGACATTGCATTGTCTCAAAGTTGATTCTTGCGTTATGAATTGAGCAGGATCATAACAGCTTTTTTGTTGACAATTCATTGCCCTGCCCTTTCAAAGGTGCAAGGGACAAATGGAGCAAATGCATAATTTCTCTCCAGATGAAGTGCGTCAGGTGCGTCAAAATCCGGTAAACGTGGGTCTTGACCCGCAACCGCTGTTCGGGCAGAGAGCAAACGGCTCGAGTAGTTCGCAGTCTGGGGTTGTTTCAGGCGGAGACCCATTCACACAGGTTCATACAGGTCAGGCCCTCAAGGCTACCAAAAGCTCAGCAGGTGCAGTCCTGGCCCCAGCTAGCACTCAGGGTAGTGCAAAGCGGGGGCGGGGGCTGTGGAGCATTGGAATCGGGACACTGGGACGGGGGCTCCACCCAATAAGGGTCAGGGCCCATTTCGGCAACTTTCCCTTCCCGCACAGGAATTGCATGTCTGCAGAGCTTCCTTACACATCTGTTCGTGCCAAACTCGGTGGCAGAACTTCCTAAAGAGCAGTGGGAGAAGATGAGGATAGGATGAGGAGACGAGGAGGAGAGGGGGAGGACGAGGACACGAGAAGGAGAGCAGGACGAGGAGGAGGTGACGAGGAAAAGGAGACGAGGAGGAGGCGAGAAGCGGAGGAGGAGGCGGTGATGCGCAAGAGTGGACTGAGGCCGACACATATACGCGTGCCCACACATGCACGCACACACAGGCACACACAGATACACACATACACACATGCGCACAAGGGCAACATGCCACACACACACACACACACACACACACACACACACACAAACACACACACACAAACACACGCGCGCACCCCCCCCTTTCTATCCCTTCTCCCTCCCCCGCTCCTCGCTTCCTACAGAACTCCACCCCCTACCCCTTCCCTTCCTCCCTCCTTTCGTGTACTACTAGCAAATGCATATGAATGAGCTGCATTGAGAGAGCATACAAAATACAAGCTGAAGATCGGAAGAACAATGAACAGGAGTATACATCCCCCGTTACTCTGCCTCCTTTCGTAACATGCAAGTGGGCCGTTAAGGCACACGGGGATGTGGGCAGCTGGCGCTCAACCACAATCAACATGGCCAGCCTTGTACATGAGAGGCACAGTAAAATGGGAGCCGCACGAACAAGTGGAAGGGGTACCCCAAAGAAACCGAAGTAAAGATAGTGAAGAAAGGGATAAAAGTTCACCATCATAAAACGGATCTATTCTGCTCCATGTTGCTTGCTATAGAGGTAAAAACTGTTTCGTTGTAGGAATGGCTCATCTCAAGTGTGCTTCATTGTCTGCAATAGAGGGAAAACTGCATCAATACTGGATCTACTCATCTGGGTAAAACAGGGGCTGTTGTGATGAAAATCTACAATACACAGAAGGAGAAGAACAAGGAGAGGAGGAGACGAGAAGGAGAGGAGGAGAGGAGGAGAGGAGGAGAGGAGGAGAGGGGGAGAGAAGGAGAGGAGGACGAGGTGCAAGGAGGGGGAGGAGGAGGCGGCGTGCAGGAGGGGGGCGTTGGTGAGGAGAAGAGCATGTCGAGTGCACACAAACAGAGGACAAGAAGGACGGGAAGACAAGGAGCAGAGGAGGACGGAGGAGGAGAGGAGGAGAGGAGTTGGAGGTGAGAAGGATAAGGAGGAGGAGGAGGAATGCAGAGGCATTGGAGAGGGACGGTGAGCTGTCAGTCCCTGCCCCATCAGTGGACGACAGGGGGATGGTGGATCAATACCAACACACACACACAACACATGCATGCACACTTGCGCGCGCGCACACACGCACACACACACACACACACACACACACACACACATAAAAGTAGAAGGATGAGGAGACGAGGAGGAGAAGAGGACAAGGAGATGAGGAGGAGAGGAGGAGAGGAGGAGAGGAGAAGAGGGGGACAACAACGAGATGAGGAGGACAAGGAGGAGGACACGAGGAGATAATGAGGCGGCGGAACGAAGGAGGGGCAGGAGGAGTTGGTGCAAATGAAGGGGCGAGGGATGAAGGACACAGGAGGGTAGGTTTGAGAGGGACTCTCTCTCTCTCTCTCTCTCTCTCTCTCTCTCTCTCTCTCTCTCTCTCTCTCTCTCTCTCTAGGACGGATGTTGGTCAAAGGCTTATCTTTTATCATCGGCAAGTTTCCCTGCACCTGTATGGTTGTGTGTGGGAAGTGGCCCACAAGAGGACAAGGATGTGACAGAGTAGGAGGGAGAGCAGGAGGAGAAGGACGAGGATTTGGAGGGGGAGGGGAGGGGGTAGAGGAAGACAGGGAGGAGGAGGAGACGTTCCCCGCAGGCGAAAATGTGGCAGGCAACCGTGTGTTTTTCTTAATGAATTGCCAGTTGAAAAGCAAAGTGTAATAATCTGCAAAATGCCGACTGTGAAACCTGTACTTTTCTGAGCAGCTTGCCTGTGTGCTTGCTGGTTTCCCACTGTCTGCGTCTGTGTGCTCGGTGTCTATGTGGCCGTGCCAGTGCCTGTGTTCCTGTGTGCTGCTGAGTGTGCGGATAGAGGTGTGTTGAGACCTATGGACCTGGTGCTAACCCTGTGCCATGCGTGGACTTGTGCAGCAGGCAGCTTGGAGGGGGGAAGTAGGCCGGCAGTCGCCAAAACAAGTAGCAGCAGGCTGTGGGCAGAAAAGGACAGAAAGGTAGTATCTTTGGGGCAGGCCAAGGTAGAATTTAGACGTCCAGTAGGTCTAGCGGCAGGTACCCTTTGGGTAGAGCCTAAGTCTACGGCTTGCAGGGAGAATATCAGACTGCAACGATGTTCCCGTCGAAACAGAAAGGAACCGACAGACCGAAGAGGGCGCACTGCCTGGAAAGCCACCGGGGAAGGAGGCAGCGCGAAAGGTATTTGAGGAGGAGCATTCACTTGGTCCGCCTCATTCTTGGCGAGCACCAGCCGCTAGGCTGCTGGAGCTCTAATCCAACTGGTATGGCGCTGGCAGCAATAGCAAGGAGGAGCGGCTCCCTCCCTGGCTATGGGGTAAGGTGCCAGGGTGAGGGAGGAGGAAGACCCATCTATGGACGACAGGAAAGGAAGAAGGAGGAAGAAGGAGGAGTGTGAAGCAGGAAGCTTACCTTGGCTACGGTGGTTTGCATCTTCATCTCCTTGGTTGGCGCTGCACCTGGAAGGCCCCTGGATGAGGTAACGAAGCAACGAAGACTCCAGAGGGTGATTTAGGCTGGGCGGTGGAGGTGGCAGGGCTAGGAAAGCTTTGCATTGTCATCCAACCATCCGAGGTAGGCCTGGATGCTGCCGCCATAGCCGGATGCTCAACCAAGTAGAGTAGTAGGAGGTGTAGGAGGGCAACGGTGACTTCTTGTGATGCCAGTAGTAAGGGGGAGAATCGGACATTGTTTCTGGCTTGTTATGTTATGGTATACTATTATTATTATTATTAAAAAAGATGTTATGTTAGAGGAGATGATACGAGAGAGAAATGATGGCGACTTGATAATGGAGCGACATTGGTTCCAACTTGTGCTCACCTTGTTCTTCTTCTCCCGTTCTCCGTTCTTTTTCTTCCTTTGTCTATTTCTCTGTTCAATCTCTTTCATTTGCAATTGAATGTCACACCTCAACTTGCAAGTGAATGTCATCGTCTCCTTTTGACTTTTGGACTGTGAGATTTCTTATAACAGAAGTGTTGTTGCTTAGCAGACTGAAGGACCCCGATAATGGAAAGCCACCATGGACAGCTGGCCATATTTTCAGCGAAACGAAGCTTGTACGAAACAAGCCAAGCATCTGACAGCTTAACAGCTGAGAGGAGCGGGTGTGAGCCGAATGCCAGGGGTTTCGGGTTTAAGCAAGGTTTCCGCTAGGACACCTAGGGATAGATACATAATATAGATATAATCTAATTACTAATTAATTTTGTAACTACAATATCTGTAAAATAACTGGACAATGAGTGGACAGACCGGGACAGACAAGAGTCCGTCGCGAGCCGAGGCTCGTACGCGAAACTGGGTAAGACTCCCAGGATACCCCCGGGTTGAATTGTGCGGTCCCCGCCCTCGATCTATATTTGCAATGCAATAACCTCTTTATAAATAAATAAATTTAAAACAAAAAGGAGGAAGAAACAAAAGGCAGTAAGCAAACATACCTTGGGTCAGCATTTACCAGATACGAACCCTTCTTGACCATCTTCAGTGTTTCTGGCGTCAAAGAAATAGGCAAAGGTGCATGCGCTCTCTCGACAACGAAAATCACGTCGCTCTCTGCAAGAACATCTGGTAGTGATGCCGATGGTGTCACGACAATTCCTCCCCACGTCTCTCTCTCGTTGAGTCTGTGTCTTTCATCATATACACATGCCGACTTAATGTCAAACACAGAGAGCATCTTCACAATGGCCTGCACCACGTCACTTAATCCCAAGAAACCAATAACCTGTTCAGCATTGCCAAGCAAACACAGACAACCGCCGCAGATCATGCGGCAAACAGGTTTTCGTTGAGTGTCAAAACTTGAAATTTGAAACTGCACACAACCCAACAAACCAGCAGAGCATGTGGCGGAACCATAACATAATATGATACTAGTATCATAATACCGATTTTGGCAAAATCGATTTCTCCCAACACAGCGCACCCTCATTTTTGCTGCATCTGATGGAAAAGATGGCTTGTATACATTGTTATCAGGGTGCGTTGTGTTTGGGGGAAGATGCGCTTGTCCTCTCTCTCTCTCTCTCTCTCTCTCTCTCTCTCTCTCTCTC